GTGAAAAGCAAATATGGATCATTTAAAAAAAAAAAAATTAATTAATTAATTAGTTTCATCGAGAAATTCTATTTTTTAATTTCAATTTCAGTAGTCAAAATTGTTAGGCGATCTGCATTTATTTTGTATAGTACGATATTGGTACGATTGACTTAGTCCACACATGATTTACATTTTTTTTCCTATTTAATTGTGATGATCAAGTGTTAAATTGATATAATAATAATAATTAATTGCATTATGGTCACACTTTTTTAAAGTTTTCTACTTAGATCATGTTGGGTTGGTGCCAATTTTATGTCTCTTTATAAAAAATTATATCAATTCAAGAATTGTATAATTAATTACATGTGGATCAAAGTATTATCATTAATAAAATAATCAAATCACATCATTCTATTCCATAAGGTTTACCATTGTCATTAGACAATAAATTAATATTTGCATTATACAAATCACCATTAAAAACTAATTAATTAACTATAATCAAAGAGAATCACATAGACAAATAGAGGTTTTGCACGTTTTTGTTATTTAATAATTATCTTTGTAACTTCATAATGTTTCAGTTTATAACAAAAAAATTACGTTTTGGGTTTTTAATATAACTATTATTGATTTTATTTATATGGGAAAATAACATTAATAAATTAAGAAAGTAGAGAAACATATTTTTTCTTTCTTAATTCAATAATTTAGAAAAAAGATATAAAAAGGAGAAGGGAGAGGTGAAAACAAGAGAAAAGAATGTATATGATGATTTTATAAAAAAAAAAAAAAAAAATTAGGGAATAAATTGTGTAATTGTTAAATTCTAAACCTGTGCATTACTGCAGAGGTTCAAGTCTTCACCAACTACAACTCTTTTCAAAAATTCTTCGATTACTTTTCAAAAACATAATCTTATTCAAAGGATATAGAAAATATAAATAATACTGTTCTCACTTGACAGTACTGTTTAGTTCACTAACATAAAAGTCACGGACTCACGTGCCAAAAATAATATAAAATTATAAAGTAGCTAAGGGGACCATTTCAAAAGATTTGTTTAATATAAATAAATAAGTAAATCATGTTCATTATTTTCTTTAAAAACAAAAAAAGAAAGGGTTTATTATTATTATTGTTGACTTATTGTTGTTGTTATATATGCATGACGAAAGAAACTTGATAAACAAATACTTAAGATTTAATTATGAATCCGGAATCCCTCATGAAAAACATGCTTAATTTAATAATTCTTGCGATTTTTTCATTAAATATGATCATACAAAAATTTAATAAATAAATCATGTTCATAATAAGATCATCTAAACTATGAAATCTGTATTAGGATCAGTAGTTTAATTTTAATTTTGTATGAATAATTTTTAATTAATGGATGATTGGAAATAGAGTGCCACGTATTTTAACTAATTAAGAATAAAAATCGAATTAATTATATAAATTTATTTAAACTCTATGGGTAGTCAAAGAAATACAATCATAATTAATCCAGTTCTATTTGTGTTGTATCGGATTCTGGTTCTTTATATAAAAGATATATTCACTTTTTTTTTTTTTTCCTTTTTATTAATCAATCAGGGTTGCAATTTAAACAATTGGGATTAGTCTTAATTGCCTTTTGGTTGTGTGAATCTTCCAATACTTTGAACAACTTTAATGTGCGTATGAACACTAAATACCTTTTAGAGAGAAAAAAATTAAAGATGCTTAAAGAAACCCTACCTTCGAGATGCATTGAAATGCTGGTTTCTGTTCAAAACTAGACAACAAATTATTCATCTGTGGGACAATATTTTGGTCTCTGAAAGACTTTTTTTTTTTTTTTTTTTCTTTTTTAATTATCAAACATGTTTTTTTAAAGCTATACAAAAATTCTCAGAGTTTTTTATTCAAAGCTTAAAGAGAGCCTTTTTTGTTTTCCTTAAAAAATTGAATAAACAAATAAATTCATAGATTACATATGTTTATGATATTTGTATATAAAAACAAGGTACTATGACCCATTACAAATCAAAAGAATTATTTGATTGTTATTTCTTAAATGAAAAATATCCAATATGGTTCAATCTTACCAGTTTACTTTATGATGTAGTGAGATTGTCTATGAAACAATATCACATGTTAATTACTAAAACCATCCAACATACCAGTTTACTTTATGGTGTAGTGAGATTGTCCGATGAATATAAATATATGAAAATTCTTAGGTGAGGGCATTCTAAAATTTCTAATGTATAGACTAAAGATCGGGCGATCGATTATTAACTTTGATTTCACGTTTCTTGTAGATAGCAACTAATTACTCACACTTGATATACACGTTAAAAACTTCAAATTATCCACACAATAAAATTATGAAAAATGTTAGCCTTACTCACTTTTTTTACTTACTTCTCTTACTCACTTATCTTTCCATTCCACATGCGTCACGTGCTTGTCAAATCATTGTGTGAGTAAGACTAACATTTCTCTAAAATTATATCACGATGATTTGAAAATAAGTGACATTATTTTATTAGATAAACGTATGATATAAAAATTGATAATAATAATAACAATAAAACAATCATATATTTTTTCAAATTTTTAAAACTTCTAATTAATGGGTGATGATACTACTTAACTGTAGTATAAAACATATATTAAGGCACAATTATATCACAATAATTAAGATGATGATATAATTAAACGACAAAAATCATAAGATTAGAATAGGAAGGTGCGTTACGGAATTGATTTTCAGACCACCAAAATTCGAAGTCACCTAACCCTAACCCTAATCATCATCTTCATCTTCGTAGTTGAATTGGACAGTATACTGGGTTACACGTGTGATAAAGAGAGAGTTGACCAGAGTCCATCTTAACATTTACTCTCTTCTTTGTCATTATCTTTATGACACGTAGTGCTGCCACTCTCCACCGAATTTAAACCTCATTACCTAGCTTTCTCCTTTTCTAGAAGCTTTTCAGTTCGCTCACCCAAACCCAGTCGGTTTCATCTGTTTCCTTAAAAAATCTCTTTATGTTATAGTAATAACAAAAATTCTTCCTACTCTTAAGTTTTTGGTATTAAAAAGACGATAAAAAGATAATTATTATTAACTTATCATATTAAAAATTCTAATGGGAGAGGATTTCTGTTATAGTGTTATCTCTGAAATTATAAGAAGAATATTATTATTTAATTAAATCTAATGGGGGTCAAGGTCGAAGTCGAACCCCTTAAAATTATATAAATATACTAATTTTTAAAATTCTTTTTGTAAATATCTCAATTTATTTAACCCAAATGCGATTTCATCAAATTCTTGTATATCTTATTTTTCAAAAAAAAAAAAAAATAATTAAAATCACATTATACAAGTTCATTATAGATTTGATTGTGCTACAATAACACAGCAACAAGAAAGAATATGCCTATTCTGGTTCTGAGTTCAGTCCCCGGAATTGAATTGAATGATTCTATAATTTTATTTTTGCATCTAGAAGAGGCAATATAAATTGACTTATTTAGGCACGAGTCCATTGGAATTGAATGATTCTACTTCATTTTTAGTAATTTGATAGTGCAATTCCTATACAGAAACGTGTTTTGACCATATTTCTTATATTGGATAAAAGTGATTGTGTATGCACGAAGGTAAGCAAGTGTTAAATCAATATTTTACCGAAATGAAGAAACAACAATTTTGGATTCTGATTCAATTATAATAGAAAATAGTATGACTATAGTCTATAGTTGTAGTCCAATTTTGATTCTCCTTTCAATTAATACCCGTCATCAATGATTATAGATTATATTATTTCACAATCGGGTGATCGAGCGGTTCGATAAAGACTTTTGAATATATTATTTAAGAAGTCATAAGTTTAAGTTCCTCATCAGCTGCTAATAAGGGTAGTCATAGGAGCTATTACTTAGCTAATAATTTCAGGATCCCAATAGATTAATTGAGGTGTGTGTAAACTAACCTTGGATACCTCCAATCATAAAAATAGTAATAATAATAAATAACAGAGCTTTATGTTATAAAATTTTGTTTTATAAAATTTATGTTGGTTCTTTAGTATTATTATGTGTTTTTTAAAACATCTTCATATCATGTAAAAATTAATTATCAACATGGTAATTAACATTAGAGATATAAAATTTTACCGACTTGATATGGATGTGAATTAACAATCTCTAAGTAATTGAGTAGTTCAATGGGAAAGATGTCCTAAGTTTGAGCTATTTCTCAGTTGCAAATATGAGTAATCATTAAAATTCTTACACGACCGATAGTATCAAGGTTCTAAAATATTAGTTGAGGTATGCGTAAACCGGTCTGAACACTACAGTCTTATATATATAAAAGCATGTGTAAGTGATGTTTGACCAATGAAAGGCAGAGTCAAAGTATGAGAAATTTAAGGCTTGTGTTGTGGTGGTTCCCATATGCCTGTTTAATTAAATTCTTTTTAATAAAATATATATGTTCCTGTTTGGACGAAGAAGAAACTTCCAACTAAAGTTAAACTTAAATAGAATACTTCAAAACTGGATTTTCCCCGTCTCGATCTTTCACATTCTGTTTTCGTTAATTTTCTGAAAACATAAACAAAAATGTCTGTTTTCCAAATTGAAACTCAAAAAAAGTAAAAGCGTTTTCACAACTGTGACCCAACTCTTCTAGTTTTCCCCACTACTTCTTAGTTCCTTCGCCTGGACAACTTGTACAACTAGATAGAACTGTTTACCAAAAATCATTTTTCGAAAACATTTTCATAATTCATCCCACTTGGGACACTCAATTAATTAATTTAATCACTGGCTAAATGGGTAATTATCATTGTTTTTTAATTACCCATTAATCTAAAATTAGAAGCCCAATTACAGATAACCTAAAGTATGACATGTCGGTCACGAGAACTCAATTCAAAGATAAACTCTAGTCATTTCAATCTTTAATATCTGAATTTCTGGCGTGGGTGTGAACAGGCCGAAAGACAGAGTCGGCTTAAAACGCAATATTTATAAAACTTCTTATAAAACAGAAAACGGAGTTTGCAATTTCACAATTCACATACCGAAATCAAAAACGATTTATAATTTATCAGAGCAGTGAAAGAGAAACTGTTGCCGTGACGGCTGGCTTTTCAAATTAGAATTCTCTATCAACATATATAAACTCTGCATCACCTCAAAAGTGTTTTCATCATTTTGAGTTTTGACAACACTTTTTATTAATATTATTGACCTACAAAGAGATATTTCAATTTACATGTGCCGTCTCAAGGTGGCGAATCGAAGAGGCTCAAACGAGGATAGCAGGTTTAATAATCCGGCTGGCGATCATGGCGGCGGCGGAGGAGGAGGGGATGATGATGATCATCAAGATGAGAGTCAAGAAATAGAGTCGCAATTATCTCATTTTCGTGGACCGAGTAATAATCCGCAAACGTTCGGAAGTGAAAGTGAATCTTTGTTGAGTTACAGTCGCGCTGGTGAGTTGTCTGCAATGGTTTCGGCGCTTACTCGAGTTGTTTCGGGTTCGGGTTCGGGTTCCGGGCAGCGAGCTGGCGGTCAAATTACAACGTCAAGTGGTTTCGGCCACAGCGTCACCGCTGCTTCTTCTTTAACTTCTTCTTCTTCAGCTGGTTCGGGTTCTGGTTCAGGGTTTTGGATTGGACAAAAGAGAGGAAGAGAAGAAGAGAGTTTAGCTGAGTCCGTTCAAAGGGTTTATCGAGGGTTTGGCCGTGGAGATTCATCTTCATCCGGTGCATCTGGTTTGTTTTATCATTTAATTCTAAAATTATTTTAAAGAAAAAAAAAATTCAATGATTTAATTTGGTATTGCTTTCTTATATTATCATTAACTACACTAATAATAATGTCAATATAAAATTAAAATTATGGATTATTGCATGTGTGTTTCTTCTTTCGTTTTCTTTTTCCTATTCATTACATTATTTATGCAACTTAAATTCTTCACTGTTATGATCATTAAAATAAAAAAATAAATTCCCCATTACTTTGCTTTAAAGCAATAAACTTCAAGAATTTTTTTTTGTTTTTTATGATTTCTTTGTTCATAAGTAATGTTCTATACTTTTGTTTTCGTTTACAGTAACAGAAGAACCAACCGCCATTGCAGCACCACCCCCATCCGCCACTACAGCCACGGCCAGCACGGCCGCGACAGAGAGTAGTGTATCCTACGAAGAGACCGGGGAACGAAGTAGGAGATACAGGGGAGTGAGGCAGAGACCATGGGGCAAATGGGCTGCGGAGATTCGAGACCCGCACAAAGCCGCAAGAGTCTGGCTCGGCACCTTCGACACCGCCGAAGCCGCCGCCAGAGCGTACGACGAAGCAGCCTTGAGGTTCAGAGGCAACCGCGCCAAACTCAATTTCCCGGAAAATGTTCGACTCGTAACTCCCCCACAACCCCAACAACAACAACAACAACAAAATTTTCCCTCCAGCCAAACACCTCCTGGATCGTCTTTAACTTCTTTAACATCATATCAACCTCACCAACAAGCCGCAATGACGACGATAGCAACCGCCGTTACACCGCCTCCAATGCCGCCGTTTTTCATGTCGCAAAATTATCAAGACTATTATGACTACTCTCAACTCTTGCAAAACCAACCCCCTCAAATCTTTCAAAACCAACCCCCGAGTTTGTTGCAACAACTCCTTCAGTCCAATACACAAATGGGTTCCTCCGTTCAATCGCCATTGTTGTCTTCTTCTTCTTCTCCGTCTTATTTAGTCGGGCCACCTTCATCTTCCGGATCGTCTTCCTCCTCAACATTTCCTCTGCTTTTCGGTGAGCAGAGTTTTCTAAGGCCACCCCAGAGTAATACTAATCAAAATCAGAGTAGCGGGTCGAATTTTCAAGTGCCGCCATGGACGCATTCAAGTCACTATCCTCCTTCTTCAGGTGGATAATATTTGAATAACCTGATCATATATATATTTTTTTTTAAATTTCAAAAGCAAAAATGTTCAACAATTTTTTTTTTTAATATAATTTGCATGTAATTTTGGTTTATTGTTGTTATTTGTTGTAAAGAAAAAAGAAATTAAATTAATCATTAAAAATAATATAAAACTTTTGAGGAAAAAACAAAGAAGGATTTAGGAATTTTTAGGCATAGTTGGATTTTGATGTTTACGTTGTTTGCTGTCTGCTACTTGCTTTACAATTTAGCCCCCAAAATATTCACCAAAGAATGTACTTTGTTTCTTTAATTATTCCATATATCATCATTATCTTAATTAATTATTTTATGATTATCCAAAGTGTTTGTGGCTGCAAATAGGGATGGGCGTTTGCCCCAGCCCCACGGGATCGGCCCGAATGGGGCGGGGAATCCTCTAAAATATTGGGGATAGGGTCGGGGACGGTCCTAAAAAAAATCCCTGCCCCCGGGGACTGGTCGAGGGAGGGGATTGTGCAATCCCCGACCTATCAACCCCACCCCCATGGAGCCCCGCCTTCTTTTATTGAGATTTTTTTTTTCTTTACGAGATTATATATAAAGTTTGGGTTTAAATCATAGTTTTAAGTAATGTATTTAAATTTATGATATTTATTTTTATAATACTTTCTAATATTTGTATTAAATTTATAGACAAAATAATTTAAACGAGACAGTTTAATAATTAAATATATGTATTATTACTTTTTACATTTCACAAAATAATAACACATGACCCAAAAATAAATTTGATTAGAATATTACAATTTACCAAACCAATATAAGAATACATACAATTGTTTAACGACTTACAAATTACACAAATTCAATTATCCTTGTAATTAATTAATGTTTCAATTAAATACGATGTTAAACTTAATCAGGGAACTTGGGACAATAGCATTTGTCTCTTTCACAAATGGACTAATTTTATTAATTGTAGTAGAGATAATGTTTTATGAATTAATTCATCAATTTATCTAGTAAATTATGTTAAGGTTGAATTTAATTATATTAATTTTATGAAAAATTAATTAATTAACAGGGTCAACTAAGCCTAAGCCTCCATACAATTGAATAATTAATCAATTTACCTAATAAATTATGTTAAGATTAGATATAGATATATTTATTTTATGAAAAATTAATTAATTAACAGGGTTGATTAAGCCTAATCGACTAAACCTTTATAGTTCATACAATTAAATAAATAATCAACTTACCTAGTAAATTATGTTAAGATTTAATTTAGTTATATTAATTTTATGAAAAGTTAATGAATTAACAAGGCTAATTTAGCCTAAGCCTCTATGCAATTGAATAATTAATCAATTTATCTAATAAATTATGTTAAGATTAAATATAGATATATCTAATTATGTTCGGGGGAAAATCCCGGTTCATCGAGCCAAGTTGGGACAGGACGGGGATGAGAGTGATTCTATCCTCACGGGACGGGGACGGGGAATGTGGTCCTTGGCCCGACTCGGCCTGCGCCCATCCCTAGCTGCAAAGTTGAGACAAGTCGCTGTTGGTTTAGGAAACCAAAACAAATGGAATAGGTTCCATGTGAGATTGAACTTCTTGCTTTGTTGGTTGAATTGAATGTTCAGCCTCTGGGTTTTTTTTTTTAATGGAAAGTTGGTGGGTTAGTCAATTATTTAGATGAACTGATTTTATTTATAATTCAGGATTTTTACCAAATTTTCTATGTCTAATTATTTTCCCTTTGATTTTTTTTAAAGTTTAGTGTTGTGATTATATTCAATGTAACCTACACCCTTCAATTCTTTCATGCACATCTTCAGTTCTTTTGCCGCAAAACTTTAATTTGATATTTATCTGAGATATTCTTTTGGGAGTCAAATTTGTCTAACTTTTTTATGCTAAATATTGGTCGAAAATTGATCTTTAACTTCATCTATACTAAAGAATTTTATGATCTTTTATTTGATATTATTATTCTTGTCGAAGGATGACATTATCTTCCATTAATGTACTATAATATTTCTCTTTATTAGATGCCAAAATTATATTAAAAAAATAGAAAGTAAAAGTAAAAACTTGAATTTAGTAATTTCATGTGTTAAGAAAGGTAAATTCTACACTCTAACATCCACATTTTAACATTTTCTTAGTTATGAACACAACTTTATATTAATCACCACTAGGTGGTTTGATGATAAAAAATAAAAAGGTCTAATATAAGTTTCTTCGAGTCTTCCCAGACATTAATAGGGGTCGTTATTAAGGGGATTTATCCGATTATTCATTTCAGGGTCCTAAAGAATTAGTTGAGATAAACACAAACTAGCCTAAATAATCCGTTCACAAAAACTGATTGGTTTGGCCGTTAAGGAGATTTACTCTCTTTCTTGAGTTTATAGGTTTAAACTTTGGGGTTATCTACTACAATAACATTGTGAATTACTTGATCCTTTCAGTTTGTAAGGTGTTCAATGGACCTTAGAGATCAGTATAAACTGATTCAAACACCCTAATTATCGAAAAAAAAAAAAAAGCTTCATGTTATAAAATTTTGTGTTGTGAAACATATGTCTGTTCTTTAGTATTACTATGTGTTTTTGAAAACAAGTAAACGTGGAAAACATTTTTTGCTTTTGATAGTGCCCTCCCTCGACCACATTTGGCATCTTAATTAAAATGCCATCGTGGCATCCTTGTCGATAACGTTGAATTAAAAATGAATTAATTTAATAAGCCCCATAGTAGACCATGTTTGAAACCATATCTTAAACATTGTTTTCATTTTCATTATAAATAAATAAGAACAATAATAATTTTTTATTTTAATATTAATCAACTATGTTTAGGTGGAACCAAGTGGATGAGGCTTAATATGTCATCAATCAATTTTTTTTTTTTGTATTCCCAAGAGAGAGTTCGCTAGAAACGTATCAACCACATCGTACTTCTTTAAAATATTAAATATTTATTATATTTTATTTATTTGTTTGTTTGATTAAAATAATTAACGATGGATCTTGACTGTGTATACATTGAAATGACGAATTTAAGATATTATTCAATTATTGTGATAAAAAATTAATGGATTAAACTTTTATTTTTCTATTTAATGCAATTCCATAATTAAAAATAAATGTTTCTAACTTTTATGTCATTTCTCAAATTGAAATAATGGATAAAAAACCCTCAAAAAGCAAAGTAATTATAATGGATAAAAAATCTTTAGAAAAGCTAAAATTACTTGACGTGGTGTTTAATAGTTTGACTTTTAACTTTAAGGGTTTGTTTATTTGTTTTTTAAATTTTTTTTTTTTTTTTTATTTTTTGGTTTTAATTTTTTTTTTTTTTTTTTTTTTTTTTTTTTTTTTTTTGAATTATTTATTTTTTTTTTTTTTTATTTTTTTTTATAATTTATTTATATTTTTTTTAATTTTTTTTGATTTTTTTTTTTTTAAAAAAGGAATTTGATTTTTTGACTAAATTATATGTAATACTTAAATTTTTTTTTTTTTTTTATTTTTTTTTTTTTTTTTATTTTTTTTTTTTTTTTTAAGATTAAACCTATCCTGCTATCCAAGAAAATTATTGTTGACAATATTTAATATTAAATAAAAATATAACAATTATTGAATTTTGTTAAAAAAAATATATATTTATGGGGCCAGAAAGGGATTACTTGAGATTGAGGGTTACGTCTCAGGCAAAGATTAATCTGTCACTTTCCAGAACATCTTTACCAAAAACAGCTTGCATCATTATGCACGTGGAAGTACACGTGACATCTATCCCTAAGGATCAGATTTCACCTCACTGCAGGCCCCTCCACCAAACAGACCTGTTTGCGCTATGTTAAATGACTCGTTGTCCTTGTCCTGGTCCATTAACAACAGGCAGATCCCTTCTCGTTCCGTTTCATCCAAGGGAAACTGTGACATGTACAGCTTGGTGACCGTGAGTTCAGTAACGGTCATGGTTTTTGGACACGTGCGCTAGTTGTTTGTTGGTTTGTGAGAATAGTTTAATAAATTGCGGGGGAGGGTCTGAATTGAGATGAAAAGTTAACTGGTCGGGGCAATTAGTTGTTTACCTACCATTTTGGGTAAAGTGAAAGTTTATCAAAAATACAAAGAAAATAATAATAATTTATGTACTAAGGAGTTATTCAATGTGCCAAAGTCACTATCATTTTTCTATGAATCCATCTTTGTACCCATCAAAATGGTGGGGTTGATTGATTGATTGATCATCGTATAATACTATAAAGAAATCGATAATATATTATAAAAATTGACTCACAATCAATCTCATAAACTTTTTCTCAGAATCACGAAGTGATATCACTTGCAATTGATAAAACGAAAAAATTCATTAGAAACCAATTGTAAACTGTCATGTCGAGGTTGTAAGATTAAGTTATAAATATGGTATTACCTCAATAATATATGTACAAACAAAATCTTTATTAATGATATAACCATGACTTTTCAATTTTGTAAAAATATCTCATGTGTTAACTTAATGGTTAAGACTTATAGATATATATATTTTTTTGATGTAGATTTGATTTTTTATGTATAAACATAAATGATATTTATGTTATTAGATTTGTAAATTTATTTTGAGTTTATCTCTCGTCCTATTTCAATTAAAATTTTCGATCACTTAATTCTAAAATTTTATTTATAACCACAAAGTTTCAGTTTTATAAAATGTTATTTTATTCTTGCTGTGGCATTAGTTGACCGGTTAAAAAACTTAATTATATTTTAACGTGGATTACGATTATTCATTCATACGTAATTTTTATATAAACTTAAATGATACATGTATTATGAGATTTGTATAATTACTTATAGTTTATCTCTTGTCTTATTTCAATTAACTAATTTTTAAATAAATCATTTTGAAATCACTAAAAGTTATTAGTGATAAAAAAAAGTAGCATACCTAACTTACAAAGTTAACTTTGTAGGCCATAAAAAATGTTCCAATTTTAGAAGGGACATAAGATCTAATGATGCTTCAATGCCAATTTTTTTTTTTTTTTTGTTTTTTTCTCGACTATTGTTTGGTTCATGTTCAA